AATGAGGAAAGAGAGACTCACTGAGACCACTCAGAAGGTGACAGAGCAGGGGACCCCATCCACATTTATCTGACCCTACATCTGCTGTGATGGAGAGTACACCGTGCACCCATCTCATGGTGTACCAATCCTGCTGTATTTTCTCCCTGGGTTGTTCAACCAGAAATACTGCATTCCCTAGCCTTCACTGCAGTGAGATGGGTCAGATGACTGAATTCTGGCCTCCTCCAGGGACTCAAACTGTGTTCTTTTGAAACATTCTTTGAGTTTTGAAGGGGAAAAAAGAAGCCAAAGAGAGATCAGGGCTGTTTGGTAGAAGGGTAAAGTTTCCCCAGGAAATCCTTGTAGGACAGCCCTTGCTCAAAGAATGACTCGGTGCATTGCCATGGTGGGGAAAAAAAAACTATTTAGCATAACCTTATTCACATTTTCTTCACTAACGCGGCTTTCAATTTTCTTAAAATTTCCACCTAATAAGCCCCAGTGTCATATACTTTGCGAAGATCTACCAAGATGACCCCTTGGGGATACAAAACACAAAAGAGTTGCCTTAACTTTCTGAGCTGACCTCTTTGCTTTGAACTAAACTGGCCTAGCAGATCCGCTTAAAAGTCATCGTTCGGAGTGGACGTGTTTTTTCCCTTCAAGGTGCCTAATGAGACTGAACCCAAGATCCGACCGAGAGAGCTTGTCGGCAGTTACCCACCCATCGTACTTCGGGGGAGGTGCTGCTGAGTCAGCGCTGCCTTATAGCAACCCCGTGGGCGCAGAATCAAACACAGTTTGATTTAAATTCATTGCTATATCAAGCCTTCCAATGGAGGATCTTCCTCTTAGACTGCCTCCTCCCGATAACAAGCCTAAAGCTTGTGTGTGACACAATGTCTCACCATCCCCACTTCTAAGGCCCGTTCTGGCTGTACTTCTTCCATGACAGATTCGTTTATTCTTCTGGCATTCCATAGTACTTTCAATAGTTTTCACCAATAATGTAGTTTAAGTGCATCAAATTTTCTGCAGTCTTCTTTATTCCTATGGGGTGCATATGAGGTGACAGAAAATGGCCTGGGTCAGGTGCACCCCTGTCCTCAAAGTGACCATGTTGCTCTTTAACTCTGGTTGAGCGCATCCGCACATTTGATTTCTCGGCTGCTGCTTCCCCAAGCATTGACTGATTAGCCAAGTAAAACGAAATCCTTGACAACTTCGATCTTTTCTTCATATCGATCATAGGGATGTGTTGTTTGGGATAAGCCCATGCTTCGATGAGCTGGAATGCTAATAGCAGTACCGTTTGACTTACAGGTAAAGCATATGTGACTGAAAGCGGGTAAGGGATAAGTCAGAAGCAGGATCTGAGTGGAGAAAAGACTTCAGTCTCTGAATTCAGGATGTTAATTTGACAAACGAGGCCCAAGATGAAGGGAGCCATGGTGGTGTCGTGGCTTACACAGTGAGCTGCTAACCACAAGGTCAGTAGTTTGAAGGCACTGGCCACTCCACGGGAGAAAGAGGAGGCTTTCTACTCCATAACGAGTTACAGTCTCAGAAACCCACGGAGGCAGAAGGCAGGTCAACCCTGTCCGATAGGGTTGCAACGAGTCAGAGCTGACTCACTGAAAGTGAGTGTGAGTTTTTGGTTAGAGGCCTGAGCCATGGTAACTTGTGCTCAGCCTCAGGGCAGCAAATGTAAACCTAACTGAGGCTTCCGTTTCTTCTGACTCATCCTAACCCTGGAGGGCAGGGAGAACACTCCCGAGGCTGTAAATCTTCATGGAAGCAGCTTGTCTTATCTTTCTCCTGCTGCACAGGTTCGGGGGTTCAAATTGCCGTTGACCTTCCAATTAGCAGCCCCAGGCTCAACCCACAGTGCCACTAGGGCTTCCCGAAACCTGACTAAATCCCTCTTTCTGATAAAGAGGGTGCCTGATCCAAGCAGGTGTGAAAGCCAAGTCAATCAATTAACTCTCCAGGAACAGGGAAACCTAACCTAGCCCTTTAGGACTTGATTGCTTAGTTTAATGAAGTGCAAAAATCTCCCCTCAGTCCAAAATAAGGAAAGAGCATGCCCAAAGAGTTCATCTGAAATTTGCCCCATAGCCTGCTTGTTCCCGATGTGCTTATAGACATCCTTCTGTGTACTATACTCTGGGACTCCGGTGCGACTTCCAGCCAGACAAGGGTGTCTGATTGAAAAAATAAAGCTTATACGTTCATGTACACATGTAATCCTTGAGAAATCCTTGAGGGATGCGATTGAAACGTTCGCACACCGTGGTTCTTTCACTCACACCACTGAAAGAGGCGGACCTCGGCAGCACTGATGGTGTTGCATTGAAAATGAAAGCATGCTATCCATTGAAAAAAAAGTCGTCCTCTAATGTAATGACTGGAATATAGCCATCTCATAATGAACACATGGGAGCTTATGGTGGTTAAACGTTGGTGGGAAAAAGCTCATTATCTTTCAACCATTTTTCCTGGGAACTTTTTAAAGCCACTTTGTATTAGTCTAGTGTCTTAGCCATCATCAAAATCCCCTTTCACCCACGCCTCCCCATATTAAGCTGCAGTACTTTCTGTTATTATACGTATGGAGTGAGTATGGACTATTACCAGGAAAGAAATCCATTCTTCTTTTACTAATTTGTTGAAGGTTTTTCTTGCCATCTTTAAGTCCACGCCAGTGGAAACTCTTTGTTCAGTTCCTCTTTGGACATTAAAAAAATTACATACATATATAAACTCACATAAACATAGAAAGTGATATTTCTTAAGTTCATACATCATTACTTGTTTCACATTTCAGATACAAGCTATTCTTGTTTTCTTTTAATTTTAATTAAAAGATCATTTTATTTGGGGCTCTTACAGCTCTTATAACAATCCATACATCAATTGTATCAAGCATATCTGTACATAAGTTGCCATCATTATTTTCTAGACATTTACTTTCTTTTGAGCCCTTGGAAACAGCTTCTCTTTTTTCCCTCCCTCCCCCACCACCCTTGTGACCCCTTGATAAATTATAAATTATTACTACTTTCATATCTTACACCTCCAGCTGTCTCCCTTCCCCCCACAGTTTCTGTTGTTCGTCCCCCTGGAGGGGTGTGTGTGGGGTTATTTTTGTTTTCTTAAAATGTGCCTCCTTTCAAATAATCAACTTTCTTGACAAGCACGCACACACAAACGCTGTATCTTATGAATCTCTAGTTAAAAGAGAGTGGGTAACAGTTTATCAGCTCTATGGTAATATTACATCTTTACTAGATCAGTATGCTAGCTCTCTAGAGTGCTAAGTAAATCTCACGTCAGTATTACCGTTTCTTTAAGAAACTTGCAGTCAGACAAGCAGGAGATGAAAATATCTTTTTGATTTCACTGCAAAAGTAATAGCATAAGGGTTAAATTACAATTTACTGTTAAAAGGTACAAGATTAATTTTATGGTACAAGATTAATTTTATGGAGCTCATTTGGTTTAAAAAGGATTAATAAGTAGAAGCACAACTCCTAGCAAAAACCAGGAGGTCCTTTTTATAGAAAACAAAGAGCAGAGAGTGGGAAAGAGAAGGAAGCAAACCATCTTTCATGCATTTTGAGGTCAAATACGAGCAAGGCTTACAGAATTCCTAAGCATCAAAACATATATTCAAGAGGGTCTATTTAATGTGTAGGTGACTTGGTAGCATGGTGGGATAAGCATTCGACTGCTAACTGCAAGGTTGGTGGTTCAAGCTCACCACTTGCTCTCTGGGAGGAAGAGGAAAAAGAAGCTGTATGATCCCATCGAAAGGTTCAGTCTCTGAAATTCTAGGGAACAGTTCTACTCTGTCCAACAGAGTCACAATGAGCTAGAATGGATTTTCTCGCAATGTTTTGTTTTTGTGTGGGTCTTGTTTCAATGTCTAAGGAGTCCTGATGGTGCCATGGTTACAGCACTTTCCTGCGAGCCAAAAGGTCAGTGGCTGGAAGCGACCAGCCTCTCCGTGGGAGAAACAGGAGCACATGGAGCCTTGAGAACCCACGGAGCAGTTCTCCTCGGGCCTTCAGGGTGGGCACGAATCAAAACCAACTTAAGTCCATGGCTTTGATCTTTTGGCTTGGCTTAGTGTCTGAACTAAAGCTTCTGAGCGAGCAGCTACACTTTGCTGAGCCAGCAGAACCATTTTAGACATACCCCTGAAGTCCCAGAAAGCAAGAATTTGAAATGTAAAAACATCCAAACCTCTTTAACTCTTGCAAAGGTTCTCTGTAACTGTAACAAGCCTGAATAATAAAATACAGATTTGACCCTACAGTAAAATGCATCTCCTTTATTCTTATGTGTGAATAAGTAACTCACGACGTGGACTTAATGATACTATCATCTCCTACAAGTTTCAAATATGATGTTTATTTGGTGCCCATTGTTGCTAAATATTATGACACCTTCAGAGATGAATTGCTCAAATCATCTAGATTTAAGTATAAATTGTCCTACTGAAAATCAAAATGCATAGAGCTCTGGAGAACAGACTATGAAGATCTAGAGACCATCCACCTTTTTGAAGCGTCTGTGGAGAGAAAGAGCGTTTTCACGCACTGCTACATCTCCCTCACCCAGCGAGGTAGCTGGGATGTTGTATAACCTGAAAACATCTTTGTTCAACAATGCATGAGTGAAGTTGGGTTGTAATGCAAAGGCCTGTACAATAAAGCCCACAATCTCTTAAATCTAGGATGAAATGAGCAAGCCTTCAGAACCAGATAAAAGTGGTTTATATTTTTTCAGTCTAAGTAACCTCTTAGCCACTTCATATTGACTGCTTCCTCTTTCCACGGTTATCCATTTTTCTGCCAGGGGCGGGTGAATGCGGATGATTTCTGGCAGGAGTTTCCTGGAAACACTCGGGGAAGCAGTATCCTTCAAGAAAGAAAGACAGAAAGGATGGTCGGTCGATGTGCGCTCATACATGCTGAGGAACAAATAACCCAGCGAGGCAGCTGGCGCTCGCTCGTGGCAGAGGGGCCCAGAGGGAAGGGGATTTGGTGAACCAGACTTTGCATTCAGGCCTGGTTTTACCATTTCTGTCCTTGGATATTTTGCTTACACTGAGTTTTAGTTTCATTATTTTAAAAAAAAAATTGCGATAATGATAACTATTCCATGGGTTCTTTTTTTTAAATCGTTTTATTAGGGGTGCATACAACTCTTATCACAATCCATACATTGTGTAAAGCACATTTGTACATTCATTGCCCTCATCATTCTCAAAACATTTCCTCTCCACTTAAGTCCCAGGCACTAGGTCCTCATTTTTCCCCTCCCTTCCCGCTCCCCCCTCCCTCATGAGCCCTTGATCATTTATAAATTATTATTTTGTCATATCTTGCCCTGTCCGACGTCTCCTTTCACTCATTTTTCTGTTGTCTGTCCCCCAGGGAGGAGGTCACATATAGTTCCTTATAATCGGTTCCCTCTTTCCAACCCACTCTCCCTCTACCCTCCCAGTATCACCACTCACACCACTCACTGGTCCTGTAGGGATCATCCGCCCTGGATTCCCTGTGTTTCCAGTTCCTATCTGTACAATCCACTGGGCTCTTATCAAGATTAAAATCTAGAGGGGAATATATATTTTAAAATAGGAAGTGTAATACCTGATACAGTGTTACAAAGTTGGCATATGTCCCAGCAAAAATGTGTTTGATGTGAGCATTTGCAAGTTCTGGGGAAAAAAATGAAAAATCCATGATTAGAGGTTTTAGAAGTAAAAATAGATCCGATGACATTCCCATGTCAAACTTACTTATTTACTCACAACTTACATGTTTGTAAATGGATGGTGACCACAACAGCATAACATATTAACTTTGATAAGATTGGAAAGTCATATAACTCATTTAGTGTAAAAGTTAACTTTTTATGAACTTGCATAATGAAACTAGGTGCACATGCTTTCAAGAGGGGTGGCTACATAGGTGAGGGGGTTTCCAAAAGCTCCCGGGGAAACTCCATGATCTCTTTATATAAAAGAGTTTGATTGAGATATAGCTAATACATCATACAATTCAATCATATTAGAAAGCATGTGCAAACATCATCATAATCCACTTTAGAACATTTTCTTCTTTCTTGTACTCATTGTTGTTGACTCCCCATTTCCCACCATCACCCATCCCCTTCCATGCCCTAGGTAATTATTTCTCCAGTTATTGTCTCTACAGATTTACCTATCTTGAATTCCCTATTCTGAAAAAACATACAAAACAAAAAGCCCCCAATAAAGGACCCAGCAATCAATGGTCCAATAAGAGAAAAACCTCACTCAAAACCCCAAAAATATTTAAAAACTAGAATAAATTCAAAATGGGTCAAACGGGAGATCAAATGATAAGGTCTTACATTTTATCCAAACTAAAGCTGCTACAATCCACTTTGCAATTCTCTCTGTCTGATATTAAGGCTATTTACACCCCTAGACTCCATCAGAGGTGATTCACTGGAACTTAATCTGCCGTGGGGACCCTGCAAGTGGATTTGGGGCTCCCACTATTATCCATAGTGTTCCCCAAACCAGGTGTTTAGAATTTAAGCTCTTATACCGTTTCTTCCTCTGGGTTTGGATTTTATTACTTACAATTCTTAGATCACACAAGCTACTGTGCTTCTTCCATGTGGACTTGGCTGACTGCTCACTTAAATGGTTGCTTGTTTTAAGAAAAGCCTTCAAGATGCTATTCTTTCTGATAGCTGGACACCATCTGATTTCTTATTTTGTGCTACATTTTGCTGTAGCACCCATATCTTCAGTGATTTTTTTCATGAGGGCGAGTGCCAAGTAGGGTCATGGCACAAGAACTTATTGTTCTTCTATTAGGACTAAGATGAAATGAGAGCTCAAAATTCGTTCACATATGTGTGGTTCACATACGTCTCTGGTTCACGTCAGAGACATTATTATCTTTCCGTCGGAGTTCATCATTAATCATCCCCACAGGGCATAAAGCAATCTAAAAGGATATCCTACACATGTATAAATTCCTTTTCTCAACAGTGTTTTAAATTCCATTATCTATTACCCCTACTTTTCCATGGATTTTTTTAGAATCCCCTCATATATAAATGTTCTGTTGCTTAAGAGACTGATTTAGCATCTTCTTTTGCAATCCTTTACGTTTTAGAAATGATTAAAAATATAAGAATCACACATAAGAAAAAAATTCATAAAATACGAATTTACAATGAAAGTACTGAGAGAACCACAAGCAGTTGGATACTATTTCTCATTGGTGGCATCATTCAGCACAAAGTCATAGGTGAGCGGAACCGCTCTTACCATCAGCAGAAATCAGGCAGCTGACATGGAAGTTATTTGTCAGGGCGTCCGGACGAGCTGAGCTGCTTGTGTGACTTGGTCCATGGCCGAAAGATAGCACTCGACAAGTGGTGTAGACATATGCAATGGTGTGGTAGCTACAGGAGAGAGAACACAACACAACGAAGACTGAAATACTCCTGTTTGTGGTGGGAGGGGATGATGTTCCCTCACACAAAATACAGGATTTATAGCCAAGTACCCCAATATCCTTTCACAATGCTACTCTAGGAAGCATCTAAATATTGAGGAAGGTTCTAAATAACAATGGATGGTATTAACTGATTACTAACTTTACAGTAGAATATTATTGACGGGCGATGGACTTTATGTGGTTTCTATCACTTTTGTCTTAAATATAATTGCTTGTCTAAGTAAATTGTTAGTAGTTGTTGATAAGTGCCATTGACTCTCACTGAGCTTGTGTACGACAGAACCCGACCTGCTCCTGGACCATCCTCATCATTGTTATGAGATACGAGCCCACTCTTGCTGTCATATGTCAATTCATCTTGGTGGGGTGTGGCGGGGGTGGGGGGACTTTCTCTCTCTCTCTCTTTTTTTGTTTGGCTGACCCTCTACTTTACTAAGCATGATTTCCTTTTCCAAGGCCTAATATCCCCTGGTAACATGTCCAAAGTATGAGATAAACTCTCTCCATCCTCACTTCCAGGAGCAGTCAGGTCAGACCTCTTTCAAGACGAATTTATTTGTTCTCCTACCCGACCCATGGATTTTCAGTATTCTGCACCAGCAACACAATGCAAATGCATCAATCCATTGTCCGACTTTCAACTGCATCTGAGGCAATTGCGCACATAATATTCCATATGTCCTCATAATTAGGTTATATAAAGCTTTGACTATATATGTAAATATGCATCATCTAAACTATAACAACGGTGCTCTCCAACCCCCATCTTTCTGTCTGTCACGCTGTGGGAGCTTTCATGTTGCGGTGATATTGGGCCCTAAGGCACTGGTATTTCAAATGCCAAAAGGGTCACTCGGGTGCATAGAGTCCAGTGAAGTTTCTAGACTAAATAAGACTAAAACGAAAGGTCTGATGATCTACTCCCGAATATTAGCTAACAGCAACGTTTGGATCACAACAGAATATTGTCTGAGGAACATTTTGTCATGTTATGCCAAAGGTCAATGTGAGTCAGAGCTACTCTATGGGAAGTGAGAACGCACCTGAGATTGCTTTGTTCACTCTTGTCTTACCAACTCAGATAGCAACTACTGCTATTTTTGTAATATTTTAGGGCAAGAAAAAACCCCTGGAAACCTAAACTCTATTATAAAGAAATAAATATGAAGAAAGGAAAAGATCAATGAAAATAGCAGCTACATATTAAAGTGCTTAAGGAGTTTTGGTGGCAGGGTGATCACAAGTCCAGCTGCAATCCGCAACGTCAGCAGTTCTATCCTGCCCTACAGCTGCTGAAAGTGGGCATTGACTGGATGGCAGTGCGTTTGATTTGGGGGGAAGGCTTAATTAAATTCCTCATGGGTGATTCCTAAGCATGAAAATATAATCGTTTCTATCTAGACAAAGGTGTCGCTGGATGGTACTCAGCTATTAACTTAAACAATGGCGGTTCAAATCCACGCAGAGGTGCCTGGGAAAACGGCCAGGAGATCTACTTCTGAAAGATGGCAGAGAGGAGACCCTAGGAAGTGCAGTTCTACCCTGAAGCACACGGGGTCAGCAGGAGTCTGAATCGACTCCACAGCAACCACGTAATGGTTACTCACGGCAAAGTCGTACCGGTTACTCACGGCAAAGTCGTACCGGTTACTCACGGCAAAGTCGTACCGGTTACTCACGGCAAAGTAGTACCGGTTACTCACGGCAAAGTAGTACCGGTTACTCACGGCAAAGTCGTACCGGTTACTCACGGCAAAGTCGTCCTGGTTACTCGTGATAAAGTAAGTTATTACCATCCACAGTCTATCTGTGAAACGAGGCCATCAATTCCTTCCACAGGTTGTGGGCCTCTCTTCTCAGCTGTGCAGTTGTGACCCAATTGTCCAAAGCTATTGTCTCCAAATGTAAACACCTTACCATCCTGTTTAAAAGGAGAGAAATCAGATTAATTCCCAACTAAACAATTACCAACAGCATAAGGATTAAGTATCCTAGAGAGTTAATAGGAGGTAACTTCTAAAACTTCATGGGGAAAAAATCACTGTCTTTTAATTCAGTTTTTCAATGAACTTTTTAAAGTTCTCTTGTATGGAAATAGATTGTGAAATACAAACTTTAAATTGGGTATGTGTCCTTACTTACTTCTAATGAATGTAAAATTAACAAATACAACATAAAAAATCACTGGCATAAATGAATGGATATATTAACTCGATTTAGACTTATGCCAAAATGAAAGCATAAAGTTACTTTATTTATTTGAGTATTTTCCTGAAAATAATCTCTTTTGAAAAGATGATTTGGTAAGTAAATACAATTCTAGCTTTCGCCTACCAACTACCAACTATGAAAAACATAGTAACTGAAAAAACTGAGGGTTCAATATATATATATAGACATACGTGCATGCATGCATTTGGGACAATCAATTAAAACCATTTTTTTATTACTCTACATAAAAACCTCAAAGAAATATGACACTTTCTAGAAACACGTTATTTACACAATCTAAGCTTAAAAAATTTCTGGAACAATCCATCACAAAAGAAGAAATCGAACAGGTCATTGACACCTTCTTAGGCTCCCCTTCCCCCAAAGAACAACAAACCACCACAACAAAAAAGGCCTGCCCCAGATGGCTTCATTGGTAAATTCTGCCAAACATTCAGAGGAAAGCGGACACCAATTCTACTCAAACTAGTTCAAAAACACAGATAAGGATGGATTGCTTTACAACTCATTCTATAAAGCAAAGCATAACCTTGATATTAAAACAAGTCATAGATACCACTAAAATAACAAAAGCACATTATTATAGAGCAGTATCCCTTGTGAACATATATGCAAAACTTTCCAACAAAATCCTAGCCAATAGGATCCAACAGTGCATCCTGAGCAAGTAAAATTCATACTAGGTTTGCAAGGATGGTTCAGCATTAGAAAAACAATCAATGTAACTTACCACATAAATTAACAAACAAATCAAATCAATGCAGAAAAGACATTTGACAAATGAATGCCCATTCCCAATAACTCTCGGCAAAATAGAAATAGAAGGGAAATTCCTCAACACAGTAAAGGAAAGGGTATATACACAAATAGGTCTGTCTTGGAAGAAGTACATCCAGAATGTTTATTAAGTAAGATGATTATTAAGATGATGATTAAGTAAGATGATACTTTAGATATATTACAAGGAGAGACCATTCCATGGAAAAGGCACCTAATGACAACAACATATACAAAAACGTATGGCCTATATTAGTCTCAATGATGAGAGCCTGAAAATATCCTCCTAGCAAAATGAAACTAGACAAACATATCCTTTATCATCACTCCTATTCAAAATTGAGTAGGAAAGAAAGAGAAATAAAAAGCATTCAAATTGGTACTGAAGTGAAATGACCTCTATTTGTACATAATATGATCCTATAGATAGGAAGGCCCAGAGACTCAACAAGAAACCTACAGGAATTAATATAATGATTCCGTAAAGTGACAAGGTAGAAGATTAGTATACCAATTCTATCAGAATCCTCTACAACAACAGAGAAAGGAAATTCTAAAAAGGAAATCAGAAAAACAATGCTATTTGCAATGGTCACCCAATAAATGAAGTACTTAAGAATAAATCCAAGATATAAAAAAGATCTATATAAAGAACACTATGAGATACTATTATAAGAAACTTACATGAATAAAAGAATATGACATGTTTATGGATAGGGAGACTGCAATTGTGAACACCAAAGGAGTCTAGAGATATAATCCTGATCCAGAATCATTCTTTAAAGAAATAGAAAAACCAATCACCAAACTTATATGGAAAAGAGATCCTAGATAAGCAAAGTGCTCCTAATAAGAACAAAGGGGGAATACTGCATAGCTGTGGTATTCAAAATAGCCTCATCTTGGTACAATGACAGACACCCAAAGAAAGAATTAGAGTTGAGAACCCAGAAGTAACTCTATCCACCTATGCACAGCTCATCTTTGACAAGGCTGAACCTACAAAATGGAGAGAGATCATCTTGGTACTGGCAAAACTGGGTATCTGGTTGAAGGAAAATGAAACAGGATTCAGGTCTCTCACCATAAACAAAAACTAAATCTATCAAAGATTCTAAACGTAACCCTAAAACTATAAAGATTATCAAAGAAAAACAAGGGCAATGTTAAGGTCCTAGTACATGACATATGCACACTATCAAACATAATTGCAAATGCCCAGACAGTAGGAGGCAGACGAGATGACTGGGACCTCTTCAAAAGAACCCACAGAGTGGGAAATATTTTTTGTAACGGTATATTGGACAAAGGGCTAATCTCTAAGATTTATTGAAGACTTCAACACAATTAAAAAAAGGGAGAGAATGCAATTTTAAAAATGGGCAGATGACATGAAATGACATTTCATTAAAGAAGACATTTGGGCAGGCAAAAACCACATGAAAACATGCTCGTGATATTTAGCCATTCAAGAGATAAAACCAACACACCAGTTATCTCCTCACCACAGAAATAATAGCTAAGTTAAAAAAAACCAACCCCAAACAGAAACCAAAAAAATGCTAGGGGGGAACTGGTGAGATTGGACCCCTAATATACTGCTGCTGGAACTGAAAAATGGTGAAACCACTATGGAAATGGTATGGTGCTTCCTAAAAAATATGTAAGTAGAAATACCATGTGATGTAGAACTTCCATTACCAGATATGTATGTCCTAGAGAAATAAGAGCCATGATATGTAAAGAAAGCTGTACAACACTGTTTATCTCAGCATTAGTCACGTAGGAAAAGGATGGAGACACCCACAGAGGTGTGGATAACCAAGCTATGGCATATACACAAAATGGAATTCTGTACAATATTAAAGAATCACAATAAAATATGTGAAACAACTCATAACATGGATGGATCTAGAGGAGGACATTATGCTGAGTGAAGTGCCAATCACAAAAGAATAAATATTGTATGAGACCACAACTAAAGAAAGAAAAGTTTTACACAGACACATATTTCATAGTTGTCAGGAATAGAAAGGGAGAGTAGGTCATGAACTGTGGTTGTCGTTAGGTGCTGTTGAGTTGGCTCCAACTCATAGCGACCCCAAATCCTTATCTCAAAGGAGGACATGTGTGAAGGCAGTGGGAGAAATGAGGGTTTCTGCTCCCACAAAGATTTACAGCCTTGGAAACCCCATATTCTGGTCACCATGATTCAGAGTAGACACGGCAGCGTGTTTGGGTTGTTTTTGTTTGTGTGGAGGCAGAGGTGATATACAAGAAGGGGGAGCACAAAAGCCATGGGAAAACACTAGGTGGAGCATAGAAGTGAACAGCAACAAATGTAAATACAACTACCTGGACCTCAACCCTGCAATAACAGTCATGATGATAATGTACAAGGAGATATATAGATAGACAGACAACTTGAACAGGTTTAGGAAGGCAGATGGGACTACCACCAGGAAGATATATATAGTTTGACAAGGGATATTTTGACATATGTATGTATATGTGCTACAAATATCTCCATGAATGTAGTAGAGGATACAGGAGGAAAGTGATGAAAACTTCTTAGCCATAACTTAGCACCTGGAGGGAATGAGTTGCTAGGCCTGGAAGCTCAGGACCACAGCCTCAGGAGACATCACACCATGCACAAAGACAGCATTCTATAAGGGTCTTCAAAAAGTTCATGAAAAATGGAATTTTCCCACATTTTTGAAGCCCTTTTATATATCTTACTTTATCAGATTTCTTCTTTGTTCTGAAAGGGAGAGACTCATAGTTGCACCTTAGGTGGCCACTTACAAGCTTTCAAAACCCCAGTGCTGTTCATCAAAGTCTGCAAAGCTGTAATTAAGAGATCAAATGATGCACAGCTTTACAAAATTAATGTATGTATGGATTGTGATAAGAGTTGTATGAGCCCCCTAATAAAATGATTTAAAAAAAGATCAATTGATAGTTAATGGTGATTGGAATGCAAAAGTTGGAAACAAAGAGGAAGGAACAGTAGTTGGAAAACATTGTCTTGGTGATCAAAACAAAGCTGGAGACCCCATGATAGAATTTTGCAAGACCAATGACCTGTTTGTAGAAAGTATCTTTTTTCAACCACACAAAATTGACTGTATACATGGACTTCTTCAGATGGACTGCACAGAAATCACCTTGACTCCCTCTGAGAGACGAGATCATGAAAAAGCCCAACATCAGCAGCTAAAACTAGGCCGGGAGCTGACTGGAACAGACTATCAATTGCTCATATGTAAGTCCAGGATAAAGCTGAAGAAAACTGAAACAAGTCCACAAGAGCAAAATTCTGAACTTAAGTCTATCCCAGTTGAATTTTGAGAATATCTCAAGAATGTATTTGGCACATTGAACACTAATAACAGAAGATCCAATGAGCTGTGGGAGGACGTTAAGATCCTCATTCTGGAAGACATCAAAAGGCTTTTAAAAATACAGGCTATAAATAATGGATCTAAGGGATGTCAGAAGAGACCAGATATGTGCTGAAGGAGATGGATTGACACAATGGCTGCAACAATGGGTTCAAGCATGAGAACAATTACGAGGATGGCATTCGACCACGGGGTATTTCATTCCTTTGCATAGGGTCAGGTAACAACGAAGAAAAATTCGTTATGGGAGTAGGAAGCCCTGTCTTTCTCGCCTGTGGAGTGGTTGGTGGTTTTGAATTTTTGACCTTGAGGATTGAAGCCCAACTCATAACCACTACTCTAACAGGGCTCCTTAAGTTGCTCATAGAAACACAGAAACTTTTAGTATTTCCATTTGCAGCTTGAATTTTTCCTTCCATTCTTTCAGCTTGATGTATGCTGAGCATGTTCTTCCTTTTTGTTTCTGTAAGTCTTTACACATTTTGTTATAATACTTTGTCTCTGAGCTGTCCTTTGGAATTTTCTGTTCAACTCTCTACTTCCTCATTTCTTCCATTTGCTCTAGCTACCCTATGTTCAGGGCAAGTTTCAGAGTGCTTCTGACATCCACTTGGATTCTTTCTTCCTTTCCTGTGTTCCTATTTTCCTTTCTTCGTGTATGGCTTTCTAAATGTATCCCAGTTTGTCAAGTCTCCTGTCATTAGTATTCAACGTGTCCAATCTGTTCTTGAGATGTTCTCCAAATACAGGTGGGATAGACTCAGGGCTGTATTTTGGCTTTCGTGAACTTGTTTTAATTTTCTTCAACTTCAACTTACATAAGAGCAATTGATGGCCTGTTCTACAGTCAGCCCATTCAGTCATTTTTGGCTGATGATATTGAAATTCCCCATCAACTCTTGCCATAAATGTAGATTTGAATCCTGTGCATTCCATCTCACACAGTCTATGTGCATAGTCACTGATTATGTTGTTGAAGAAAAAAACCATATTTGTGATGAGGAAATCATTATTCTTTGGAAAATTCGATCACATATTCCCCAGCTCCACTTCTATCACCAAGGCCATATTTTACAACGACTGATCATTCTTCTTTGTTCCTGACTTTGTAATCTAATGACTGGTGACTATTAATGCACCTTGATTACACATATGATCAATTTAAGATAGAAGTTGTTAGAATTCCTCAATTTATTTACCATTAGCTTTTGTGATTGGTGTGTGAATTTCAATAATAAATGTATTACACAATTAGTTCTCCTGGTAGGGATATAAATACTTTTTCCATCTGTATGCTAAGCAAATAATCAAAGAAACTTAACTCTAGGAAGAAAAATGTGGTATCAGGATTGGAAGAAAACTTATTAACAGCCTGCGATATGCAGATGGCACGGACTTGCTTGCTGCAAGTGATGAAGACTTTACGGAATACAAGTCCATGTAAAGAAAACCAAAATTTCCACAATTGAACCAATAGGTAAAATCATGATAAAGGGAGACAAAGGATTTCATCTTGTTTGCAGTCAAGGTGTCAAACAACACACTGCCCTGCGTAAATCTGCCGTACAAGATGTCCTGACAGTGTTGGAAAGCACTGATGTTACTTCAATGTCTAGAGTGCACCGGGCCCAAACCATGGGGTTTTCAATCATATCATATACATGTGGAAATTGGACAGTGAATAAGGAAAACTGAAGAACTGAGGCATTAGAATTATGGTTCTGGAGAAGAATATTGAACATACCGTGCACTGCCAAAAGGAAAAATCAAATATGTCTTGAAAGAGGACCACCAGAACGCTCCTTAGAAGAAAAGATGGTGAGACCTTGTCTCATAAACTTTGGACCTGTTATCAGGAGAGACCAGTCCGCTGAAAAGGGCATCATGCTTGGGAGAGTAGAGGGGCAGCAAAAAGAGGAAGCCCCTTGACAAGATGGATTGACACCATAGCTACAACAATGGACTCAAATCTATGAACAGTCAGGAGAATGGATCAGGACTGGGTGGTGGTTTGTGCTGTTGTACATGGGGTAGCTATGAGTCGGAAGCAACTCGGAGGCACCTGCCTACGACCATATTACATGAACAAAGACACCTGGGAGGTGTGCATCCTTAGAACAATCAACTGTATGAGCTCAAAAGGGCATTCACCCATGGATAAAGTTCAGAAGGCAAGAAGGGATAGGAAAAACGGATGAACAGAAATGGTTACGCCCGGAGGTAGTGGGAAGAGTGATGTTGCATTGTGGGGACTGACATCAATGCCATAAAAGAACATGGGTACTCATCATTGAATGGAAAATCAATTTGCCTTAAAAACAGTCACCCCAAGTTCAAGAAAACATTAAAAATGATTTGGCCCATAGAGCTTAAAAATGAACATTTCAATCACATAAATAATCATCAAGTCTACTTTTTTGACTATGGAGAAAACCCACACTGCTAGAATGTACGATATAGCCAATAAAAGGAGAGAACAAAATTCAGGCGAGTAGCTCAAGATTGTGCAGAGCAAGAGATTGAAAGAAAGTGTATTTTGGTCTGTAATATGAGTTATTGAAAGCTAAGAATTACATTGTTGCTTCTATAAAAATTGTCATCAGTAAAGCTACACAGTATGAGAGAATGGTTGCTGGGAGGGTTAACTCCTGTGATAATCTAATTTAATAGTTATCTAAAAATATTCTCTAAAGGTGATATTGGCCTTTGTATGAGATTTGAAAATTTCTTTGTTTATACGATGTGTGTACATTGGGTTGTACCCAACATATAGAGCTATCAGTACATACACCTTGGGGTAATATTTCTCTGAAATTAAAAAACATTGTAACACACTGGATTTACCTGGGTAAGCACTGCAGTGTGCTCATAGCCACAGCTGATATAAGTCACACCTAGGTTCTTTAGAGCGCCAATTGAGCGAGGCTTGTAGCTCTGCACTGCTGAAAACAAAGCAGAATTTCTAAATTATAAAAACAAGCCCAGATTTCATCATTGTTAATAAAACATCTACATAATTAATTAAAACAGTTTCAAAAATGTAAAGAATCACAACTATGCATATTAACAAACAGAGGGGAATCCGTGCTTTAGAAAAGAAAAAAGAACTGGCATTTCAGAATTTCTTTCTGGGAGCAGTTAACCTTCTGCAAGGCCTGAGGGTATTAACCTTAAAACTACACTTCAAGACTGCCTACTGCCGTTGTCTCTCATGCATTTATGTCACATAGTGGTTGCTGTTATTTTTTGGTTAAGAAGGGACAAGAGAATGCAACACTGCCTGGCCCTGTGCGGGTCTCACAACCATCACTATGGCGGGCGGGGCCCCTTGTTGTAGCCACTGTGCATCTTTCTCTTAGGGAGGGTCTTTTTCTTTTTCTCTGATCTTCTACTTTTCCTTCTCCAGGGACTGGTTCCTCCTGATAATGTGCCCAAAATATGAAACACAATGAGTATTCTGATTGTGCTTCTTCCAGGACAAATTTGTTGTTTCTTTGGTAGTCACATTGTATTCAATAGTCTTTGCCAACATCTCAATTCAAAGGCAGCCATTGGTCTCCAGTTTTCACTATCCAGCTTTCGCATGTATATGAGGCCACTAAAAATAGCATGGCTTGAGCCACGTGCACCTTACACCTAAAAGTGACTTCTTTGCTTTTCAACACTTCACAGGGGTCTCCTGCAGCAGGTATGCCCAAAGAAATCTTGGCCAAAATAATTAATCTCTTGATTATTGTTTCCATGGGTGGTGTGGTAGTTACATAATCTGGTGTCAATTTGGGACGCGAGAGGATTAAGAGTGAAGGGGTGGAGTCTAGTCTGTCAATCGGGTCATAGCCAGTGAGGCCTCTATGTGGGCATGGTCTTCTTCTGAGAATTCTGGGAAATCCTGATTTTCCTACTTGGAGGCAGGAGACATATTCTGTCTCTGCTCACTCCCTGGGAGACATTGCAGCTGACAAGACACGTGGAACTATGCTAGTGCCCTGAACCGGAGAAGCCACAAGGACCTACCCTGATGTAACCAGACCTCTAAAGCTGGAGAAACCACGTAGAGACCCCTGTCAGCACTGAGATGCTTGTAATGCCACTGGATCCAAAACTTCTACCCACTGACCTGTGATTGTCCTGCATTCGGCATAATTGCACGTGTTTCATGAGTCTGAAGAGGACTTTATAGATTGGTATTGAACATAGGGGCCAATATCAGACTTAGGGCTTGGACTAGACTGGGTTGGGATGCTTTCTTAATGTACAATTACCCTTTATATAAAGCTTTCTCTTACACACATAGGAGTTTCTATGGATTTGTTTCTCTAGTCTACCTGGACTAACACAGATAGG